AGAGGGTCACCCCTCTCTGATTTTGGCCCTCAAAATCACATGCCAACCACTGAAAATCCGCTGGATTTCTGTGGCTAAATGGACAAGCAAAGCTCAATACAAAGGTCTCATGGCATGGCTCAAAACAAGGCTAAATAGAGCATGCAAGATGGTAGATGACCCCCAACACAAAAAAGAGCCTTAAACAAACATGGAAATCACATAAATATGAACTTTTTTTTAGTTGACAACAAAGCTCAAATAAGCATGCAAATAAGGCTAAGAGAAGGATCAAAATAATGCTTAAAAGAGGGAAAAGTGATTACCCTTGAAGCTCAGCAAAACCAGCAAACTTTGGGACAAAAAAACCAACCCTTTAACCTCTGAAAACAACCTCCAAGAACCACAAATCAATGGTGGAAGTGTATGGCTATGAGGTGTAGTGTAAAAGGTCAAGAACCATGCACACTTGGGACCAAAATAGAGATATAGAGGGAGATATATATTTTGCCTTCCAAGAATTTCTGAACCCAGTATAAGGAGGGGAAGGGCCTCTCTTATAGACAAACAAGGCCAAAGCTTCTTCAAGAAGCTAAAAAACAAGGCTCAATGTATGGAGGATACAGTCTGTACCTTCCAGCTGGCATAGCTGGCATGCACTCAAACAGACAAGACAAGAGGAAGCTAGCCGACCAGAAAAGGTGGTCGGCCGACCACTTCCCCTGGTCGGCCGACCAGGGTAGGTGGTCTCCCATACAAAAAAGTGGTCGGTGGCCCCATTTGGTGGTCTCCACTTTGAAAGCAAGCTAGTGGTATGGTGGGAGACCAGTAATTATGGCCCAAAGATCAAGGAGACTAGTTTCCCGACAAGAAAACCGGCTGGCGGGGGAAAAGTGGTCTCCAAGGAGAAAAGGTGGTCTCTCACCCTTGTACCATCTCCCAAACGAGGAAAACAAAGTCCATGAAAAAAATGAACCAAGACGGATGCAAAACTAAAGTTCGGGAGACAAAGCGCGCAGCTGGGTTCCTCGAAAACTTGTTGTTGAGCACCGAAAGTGGCGTGCGACCAAAAAAGTGGTCTCCCGAGCCACAATGTCCCTCTAGATAGAGGAAACAAGGTGTGTTCCAAAAACCGTGCCAAACGGAGAATGTTAAGCTGTCCCGAGCCGAGGCGCGCGACCGACGACTCCAAAAATCGAAAACTAGTCTCCAAACGGGAACAGTGGCCTACGACCACTAAGAGATGGTATACAAGACCTCTCCCTCCCTCTGGGAAGAGAAAACAGGACTTGGAACACAGACCGAGTCAAAGCACAAAAAGTTTCGAGGCTCGGAGGCAAGGCTCTCAGCCGAAACTTCGAAATCTCGAAACGAGCACAACATGCACAATCATCGAGCGCTCAATCGATGACGTCTGAGTCTTAAGGTCAGTCAAAAATGGAGTATCTACAGTTGCCCCTCTTTGACAGAACTCGAAAGTCATAAGTGACGGGAGTGAATGTCAAAGCCCAGAGACGACCCATTTTTGACAAGGCCGAAGACTTAGACAAATAGGCCAGATAATCAAAGAAAAGTGCCCGCAGGCAGGGGCAAAATGCAAATGGTATGCACAAAGCCGAGTATAACTTATGATCATGCAAAGAAAGCTGTAATGAAGCAAATATACACAATAATATGCAACAATTTTAAGCAAGAATGCAAATCAAACTATATTTCATGTAGTAAGAATGTAAGAGAATTATACAATTCTCGCTATGTCTCACACGGAGAATACAATACTGTCCGGTTCGTCTGGTCACACCAGCTTCAAATGAACCGTACATACAATATCGTCTGGTTGCACCAGCCTCGAATGAACTGTACATACAGTATTGTGCCTGTAAAAGAGTGAAACTTAACAGCTACAATATAGTTAGTAACACATGTTCAACGCTATATCGAACGCGGATACGTACGACGCTGATAGAAAAGTGCATAGCAATGCAAGCAAAACGTGTGTGACGATGAAAGTTAGGTATAGATGAGTGGTCACACCAGTGAAACGTGTACAATGATGCAAATAATGTGCATAACAATGCAGGACAAGTGCAACTTCAAAGCATGTTTGAAACAAAATGCTGAGTAAAGAAGTGTAAGCCTCGAAGAGAGCAACTCAAACGCGACCTCCGATTCACCTCTCGGAGGGGTCGCAACATACTCAAAAAGGATACACCTTGCTCATGGCAAGTAACAGCGAGCCACGCATCGAAGACTTGATTTAAAGTTCCCGCGGAGACATTTCGCGCCGAAAAGTGCACTTTTCTTGTACTTTCTCGAGAACCGAGGACTCTAATCATCATCAAAATTCACAGAGAGAACAAAGGGACCTGGGAGACCACCCAGGAGGCCACCGACCAGTTTTTGCTCACAGGGTGGTCGGCCAGCCAGAAAACCTGGTCGGCCGACCAGTTTACTAAACCTGGGGCAGTTTGGTCCTTTTATGCTCGGTTCTTTAAATACACACATCCCAATCACTTTTGTTCACACCTCTTCGGCCGAAATCAGCCCCCCTTTCTTCCTAGACCATTTTCTCCCTCAGATCTACATTTTATGCACGTTTTCCAATGCCCCACGTGAAGTTGTTTCGCGAAAACTTTCAGTTCCCTTCACTTTGGACCGATTAAAATTTGATTCGGAGCTTCTTTTTCCATTTTCACCACTTGAGGTATGTTTGTCTCGAAGTTTGGCACATTTTCTCGAGAGTTGACTTTTGTTGACTTTTTCCTTTCTCGAGAGTTGACTTTTGTTGATTTTTTCCTATTTTGGCTCATTTCGCTCATTTTTGCTCATTTTTGCAGATTTCTTCAAATGGCGGATCACTTTCATCATGGCGGAGGTCCTCCACATACTGGGGATGAGCCAGATATGATGTCGTTGCCTCTGAGGATTCGTCCTTTTGACCCTGAGAGGTACGACCCGCAGGAGCACATCCTTCCTACGAGTACTTTCCTCCATTTCACTGACTTTGCGCGACAGGAGCCTGCGGACTTGCTGCTACGAGAGCCTGAGTCTCATCTATCGCATCACGCGCGAGAGGTACGTACTTTACTTTTACATTTTCCGCGAAGTATTTTGCATTTACTACACATTTCAAGTTTTTGCTATGTTTTTTTATCTATTCATTCTGAACACCTTCACACACCACCCGGTCTATTTGGCACACAGCTCATATATAGAAATACCCTGGTCATTTTAGCATGTGGCTGACAACACAGTATTCTGTCCATTTGGCACGCAGCTCCCAACACAGTACTTTGTTAATTTGTCACGCAGCTTACTCTGAACACGCGGCTCATTCTGACCACACATTTTGTCTCAGGCACATACGCACACAGCTCGTTCACTTCACTTTAAACCCGCAGCTCACACATTTCAATTCTGAACACGCAGCTCATACACTTCATTTTGAACGCGCAACTCACACATTTCAATTCTGAACACGCAGCTCATACACTTTATTTTGTGAACACATAGCCCATCCACTTCAATTCTGAACACGCAGCTCATACATTTCCATTGGTGAACACACAACTCATTCATTGCATTTGCACGCAGCTCATGCACTTTCATTTGTGAACACACATCCCATCAACTTCAATTCTGAACACGCAGCTCATACATTTTCATTGGTGAACACACAGCTCATTCATCGCATTTGCACGCAACTCATACACTTTCATTGGTGAACACACAGCCCATCCATTTCAATTCTGAACACGCAGCTCATACATTTTCATTAGTGAACACATAGCTCATCCACTTCAATTCTGAACACGCAGCTTATACATTTTCATTGGTGAACACACAGCTCATTCATTGCATTTGCACGTAGCTCATACATTTTCATTGGTGAACACAAAGCTCATACTGAACACGCAGTCCATAACACAGTGTCTGATTTGATTTACACACAGCTCGTACATTTCAATCTGAAACTGAATATATCTGTTCATTCTGAATGCAGGTTTCTTCCCGTTCCACACGGGGTTACGGATTGATCCTTGCTAGGGAGTGGTATATGGAACTCCCCGATACCGTTTGCCATATCGTGGACGAGGTGGGATTTGGACCCTTCTGTGCGAGGATATCATGTTACCCGGCGAGTAAGACCCTTATGGGGGCACTCGCGGAGAGGTGGTGGGACACCACTAACTGGTTCCACTTCTTAGCTACTGGGGACATGATGATGACCCCATTTGACTTTGCCATGCTGACTAGCCTTGACGTAGGCGGCCGACCGGTCCCTTATGACGCAGATATGGGCGAGTGGGAGGTGGCTTGGATTTATCTACTAGGAGTCTGCCATCTGATCGACAGATCATCGGGTAAAGTCAGGTACACCTGGTTTCCGTGTAGTACAGGGGGACTTCGCCCGATACTGTCGAGGAGATAGAGCAGCATGCTTGGGGGTTTTTGATGTTCCTCCTCGGGACCACTTTGTTCTCCGACAGGGGGAACACTGTTGGACTTTATCTGTTGAGTGCTTTGGTAGACCTATCACAGGTCAGTCAGTATGATTGGGGTGGCGCCGGCCTCGCTACCCTTTACTGCTATATGAGCGCGACCTCCGGCGAGCGGGGGAACATAGTTGGTGGCTACTGGAGAGCCTGGGAGGTACTTTCTGCCCTCTTGATTTACATTTCTGCTTTTCATTATCTGTATATTGCACACACGGCACACAACACACTTTGCACTCCGCTCTCAGCATTCTACATTCTCTGTACATTCTATATTCACATTCTGTGCTCAGTATTCTGTACTTTCTATGCATTCTGTATTCATATCCTGCACTTAACATTCTATATTTTCTATACATTCTATATTCTAACGGCCATTATCCTATTTTTTTACAGCTATGGGTTTATGCATACTTCCCGACACTGGCCCCAGAGCCTGAGGTGGAGGCTCCTCTTGAGATCCCCTATTCTCGCAGATTCATGGGTCGGTGCCGGCCGAGGCCTCGGGAGACTCTGCCCTACCTTCACTACTAGAAAAAGGACCTTTTGCTACTATATAATTTGCGACCACTTGACCAGCCGTCGCAAATAACCAATTTATTCCTCTTTTACCCGTTTTCCTTCCTTATATTTGCCCTACTTTTAGAAAAATTAAAACACGGATTGTTCTCTCTCTCTCTCTCTCTCTCTCGCATTACAAACATGCATAGCTCTGCTCTCTCGCTCTTCTGCTCGCCATTGTCGTCTGAATATCTCCATCGGTATGAATCGCTCTTTCAATCTCGCCCTCATTCTCTGTCTCTCAATCTCCCTCCCAATCTCTATCTCTCAATCTCTCTGTCTCGCTGTCTCTCGAACAATCACATTTTCTTGAGTTCTCAAAAAAAACATTCTCATGGATAGGAAAAGATTTAGATCAAAACCTATTTCTTGAAAACTTTTTCTATATTTGCAAAAAAACCAAAATCAACACAAAAGCAACAAGAGCTTCGAAAATCAACATATATATAGCACAACTTGTATATATCTACCTCAAGCTTGATGAAGAGAGACAGAAGACGAAACCCTAGCTTTGATGAAAGATTCTTCAACTTTCCACAACACCAAGAGAAGCTCTAGTTCTTGATCTTCAAGATTTAGAGGAAGAGATGATAATCTAGACCCTAGATTTGCAAGAATCAAAGTGGTTTGGGTGTTTGATGATGTTTTCTAGAGAGAATGAGGAGAGAATAGGGTTTAGTGAAAGAGAGAGAGACCCAAGAATGAGATACAATTCGGCCAAAAAGAGAAATAAAAATAGAGCCTCGGATCTGGGCCTTTCCCGCACGTGCGGAGCCCACTCCTACACGTGCGGCAAGTGCCTCCCGTACGTGCGGCCATCACTCCCGTACGTGCGGCACCTCCCCGCACCTCCTCACGCACGTGCTTTTATAGCAGTGTGCAACCCTACGCACACTAGCATTTGACCTGTGCTATGCATGGTTAAATGTATATGATAATGATATATATTAATATTTTATAAATTTGTAGATTATAAATTTATTTTTATTTTTGAAGTTTAAGATATATGATGAAGATATTTGTTAACATTGCATGAATTTTTAGATCATAAAATTTAAAGCCCAATCTACTTTACCCTATGACCTAGCCGACGTACAACTTGGGTTAGCCCAACTTAAGTAATTTAATTTTGTAAAATTTTAGAGGCTTTAAGTAATTTATGTCCATAAAATTGTATGACCTTAAAGACTATTTTAAATTTGGTCAAGACTGAAGAAAAAATTTACTAACTCGAATTAAATTCATGTCAGAGCTTGAGTAAAAATTGTCACAACCCAAGTATTCTAATTTTTATTGTTAATAATATATTACCCTTGCATTGAACTTGTACGAAACTTTTAAAAAAAAATTGGTTAAAATTGTTTGTTTCTTAATTTTTAAATAATCAATTTTTTTCAGTTTATTTAAACTATTTCAACCTAATAAGCCATAAGAAGAAGTTGCACCAAATAGTCTGGTACAGACTTCTAAATTAAAATAAGTTATAATCACCTCTTAGAATCAAATAGGAATGTAATTTTAGCCTGGCCTTGAGCACCCTTGAGTCTCGTGGGCTCCGGTCAAAAATCGAGCCGAAGTGACATTGTAGGGCATGTGAAACATCCATTCTTTAGCTCGGATAGAAAGAGCATTGTTGTGACTGCGGATCTTGCTACAATGTCTACTGTTCCTATATCTTTGCCTCTCTTCCTGCACTCTGTGAGGCCTTACGGGGATATCTTCACTTCTTAATAGGAATAGGTGTTATTTTGTCACGTAACAAAACATGACAAAACACTTGCTAGGGTGTTTTGTCAAGGGCTTGATTAACATTGTTATCTGTACTAAAGTAGCGATCTTCAAACTCCTCCATGCCTGGGATCACATGTGAATCCTTGTTCAGTGACATGTCAATCTCCCATGTCACAATTTTTAGCTTTGGGAATTTCTTACAAACAGCATGTCTTCCTTCAGGAGCCTGCGTCGTAATTTCAAAATTTTCAAAAATGAAATATAAACTATTAATAATTCTGTAGAACTTAAAATTGTCTGGAGAGAAAACAATTAAACAATTCTCTTATCTAGGTGCCTGCTGTTTTTTGATTTTTATATCTATACTTCAGAGAGAATGTTGACTCTTCAAACAAATCTCTATTAAAATTTGTTTAGGATGTCTGAGAAGCCCAAAACTTCTGAGAGAATTGATGAGCAGTATTTCTCAAAAATTGTGGAAGACTTCAGCAGCCGAGCAATGAAGCTGGAAAGCGACTTGTTCAGGTATGAATCAAGTTTTCCATTCATGAAAACAATTTTTAGAAACTATTGTCTTGTATCAATTGGAAGATCAAGTATGCTACAGAGACCTGTACATGAAAATGTACCCTACACATGCAGCTTACCAAACCGTATTTTGTGCTCATCATAGAACTTACCATGTGTTTCATCATTTTTTTCTTTTGTTTTGATTCGTTACTACCAATCAGTATACATGGCATGGGTTACATAAATTTACCCATGAAACCAAAATTAGAGCTGAGTAGCCAAATGCAACAAGACAGCATCAATTTGTGATGCAGATTAAACAAGACAGCATCAATTGTAGACATAAGAGTGGAATACCAGGAAATAGAGAAGTTCTCTGTCATCAACCGTTTTGCGAAGTTCCACTGCCGGGGGCAATCAGATGCAGCAGAGACCTCATCATCGGGTGGCACAACTCCAACTGCACTGAAATCATGTCCACAAAGATATGTCACTGCATTTCCCATGCCTAGGACAGTGCCTGAAGGAGCACCATGTCTTTCACTTTGATCACTGATGATCAATCACTTCACCTCTTGCATGCCCCTTCGATCCATACTCTGTTTTCCGTTGCCTCTGTCTGCTGCAGCCTGTAGTCTTTTTTCAATAACCTCAATGCCGGTGCACAAGAAAACCAATGAAAAGGGCCCCCCCAAAAAAAAAAAGAAAAAAAAGGGGGAAAATTTGGGGAAGGTGAACTGCTAGAAATTGAAGCCGTTTGATCTTTTTGATCAAGCCCGGTTGTTGTCAATTTTGAGGAAGTATATATTGTTCTTAATATATTTTCATGAGAATTTAAGGAGATTCATGGAGTAACCCAATCATCTTTCCTAGGGTTGTTACATTAATCAACTAAATTTACATGTATTTCATATGAATTTCTGGTAGCTGTGGCTTTGCAGCCATTCTTCTTCTTCTTCTTCCTTTTTTTCCAGGGTTGGTAGAAGAGTTGGCATCATGAAGAAAAACGGGATAATTGGCAACTAAATGAGGCACGGTTTCAGAGGTACCCTTTGGCTCTATTTGATAGCAATGTCGTTTAAAAAAGAATCTATCTACTAATGAGCATCTTAAATGTATTGGTTAGTAAAGCATTTGAGGGTTGTACATTCTTCAACTATCCATTTTTATTGGGGAATCTTCAACCAGTTTAAGCCTATTATGGAGTGCTGTATGAGCACTACTAAGAAATGCCTCCAGTGACAGTTACCCTCTGCTGTAGCATTCTTCTTGATGGAGTTTTGTTTACTAAATGCAGGTGGTTTTAAATCATAATTTCCGAACCTAGTAGTTTTAAAATTATTTTCCAAACTCAGGATGTTTCAAGAAGTTTTTTTCAGCAACTATAGTTGTGTTTTGAATCATGACTCTATAAAATAACTTGAGTTTGGAAAATATGTTTAAAACTGCTTCATTTGAAAATTCAATTTCCAAACATTTGCATTTGCTGAAAAAAAACTTGGACTGTATATAAATTATTGGCGAAGCTTCTAGAACTCCACAACAGATATTGGGGTTTTGTTTGGTGAAGTTTTGTACTGTGTCTATTTGTTGGTTTTTTTTTCTGACTAAAGCACTTTGTTGTAGGGGGGGACAAAAGGTCCCTGACAAAGATCTCATGTTTACTAGTAACTACTAAAATTCTATTGTTTGTTTTGTTTATTCTGATTAAAAGTACAAAGTATTCAGACAATGATTCTGTGGCCCTTATTTATTAATGTCATCATAAAATCAAGTAGGATAAGATGGATGGGGAGATTGAAAGAAAGACAAAAGGAGTGACTTATTGCAGAGGACCCAAAAAGCATTTTATTTTGGTTGGAACGATTGAATTGAATTCTAACACACACACATGGTTGAAATTGTCACCATTCGCTTCAGATGAAGTGAGTTAGAAAGAAGCATGTTAGTGTTGGTCATTATAGTTATGTTGGATGATGTGGGCTTTCATATAATTATTGTAAGCAAAGGCTCCCACATGCTGAAAATTAGAACTAACACGTCAGTCATTAGTGCCAATAATGAACTGCCATCAAAGGCTTAAAAAATATAATATATGCTGGTTGATTTTTGTTTTCAAAAATATATATAAATGTAACAATACAGAGACATAGAATCTCTACTATTGCTTTGTTCATGGTTTTGATGGTTTGCATTGTTTTTATATTTTAAGAACCACAGATTATAATATTTTATGTGGATGAGACATGTTGTAATTGTAATATGTGGATGAGGCATGCAGTGATTGTGATATTCTAAAGTTTCAAACTTTCTTTCTTTGGATGAAACATGCAGTAATTGTAATACTTTTTTAATTTTTTTTTTCTTTTTCTTTCTTCTTCTTTTTTTTTTTTGAGGACTTGAATCTTTTAGCACAATATATTTTAAGGATGGTTGATGGATATTTCTTTTGCATGTATGAAAGTTTATATTTTGTTTGCACACTTATATGTGAATGTATTTCTATTATGAGTTTAAATTAATTTGTTAATTTTGTTATTTTTTATTAAAAAAAATTGTTAGGTGTTTGCAATTGATTTTTTTGTTGTAATAAACGTATATATGATTTTATTATAAAAATAATTATTTGCGACGGTAAAAAAGAAGTCGATAAAAGTGTTTTTGAATTTTTTTTTTTTTGTTGCGACGGCAAAATAGCTGTTGTAAAAAGTAGGTTAGGCAGTCGCAAATAGTTTGCGACTGTTATTTTGCGGTCGCAAAAAGTATTTGCCACCCCCACATTCGCGACCCTCATTTTCCGTCGCATGGGCCGTCGCAAAAAGTCTTTTGCGACTGTTTTTTTATTATTTGCGACGGCTTGTAGCGGTCGCAAAAAGCACTTTTTTTAGTAGTGCTTAGACAATTCTTCGATACCGTACGACCGACGAATGTAATCTAGAACTCTCAGTTCTTCATGTTTTCAGCTTTGGTTCATCTTGCATATCTATGACCTCTAACCAGTTTGTGCATTTGTTATCCACAAATCACTTGGCAGCCCTGGGCACCCTTGGGAGGAGATATCCGGTTTTGGTTCCCTAGGGATGGGCCACCTCTCAATACAAGATTCTATTTGAGAGGCTGTAGATGCGCCCGCGTGAGGGGCCCTCGCTACTACAGTTCGGACTCGATTCGTGTCACGGTTCTTAATCCTGAACCAAAGAGTCCAAATCCGGAAAATCGTTCTGAGAAAATAGATTTTTAGAAAAAGAAGTGCCAAACATGGACTGCTTTGCCAGATACAGAGTCGCCACCTAAATATTTTTTATGGGGGAATTTAGGAAACCCTGACTCGGTGCCGAAGGCCACATGTCCGTCATCACCGGAGTTGTCTCGGCTCAGGAGTGTAGACGCGCCCGCGTGGAGGGCCTCGCCACAGTTCGGACTCGATTTGTGTTGCGGTTCTTAATCTTGAACCAAAGAGTCCAAATCTGGCAAATCGTTTTTGAGAAACAGATTTTTGGAAAGTAGTGCCAAACATGGACTGCTTTGCCAAATACAGAGTCGCCACCTAAATATTTTTTTTTAAATGGGGGAATTTAGGAAACCTTGACTCGGTGCCGAAGGCCACATGTCCGTCATCACCGGAGTTGTCTCGGCTTGGGAGCTAGGGTACGATTGGGGAAAGTCAGCTATGAGCACCCCCTCTCGCCCAATCCGAAGATCGGCCTCTACTAACCGTGATATCTGATTTTGAAAACACTATGTGTTCTTATTCCATTTATTAGCCTAGCGTTACTATGTTATGCGCTCAGCAAACAAGTATAGACCAGATTGCCTAATTTGGAAATAAGCATTGCATATCCGTTCGTTTTGGAAAATGTTTTGGATTTTGCTACTCGCAAGTAGGCTAAGACACAGATTTCAACGAGCTTTTCCAACTCAAGCAACCCGACCTTCACCCACAGGCATTCAAACAGTTTATCATATAAGCACTTAGTCGCATGGCAAGCATACTGTTATGGCAACATTCACACGCACGCGGGATGCTAAAACATAAATACTTACATCGTACTCTGTGCCAAAACAATAAACTAGTTAGCAAACATGCATGCCCTAGTTCATGTTAAAATGACTAATGCATCTCATGCAAGAATGTAATTAGAGTAGGCTCGGTTAACCTAAATATGGCATATGAGATGCAACCAATTGATTCGCGTATTCAATTTGGAATTTGAAATACGAATGCAGTTAGCATGATGTACTGAGCCTAATGCGTGTAATACAAATGCATCAATGCACGCATGCATAGCATAAGGTATGTTAATTTCAAAAATGCCCTAATCTACCATCATAAGCAGGTAAATAAAAGGGAAGAAAGAAGTAGGGATTGGAAGACATACACACACTCACCCACACTTATTACATCATTGCCCTCACTCGGAGGGGCCAAATAAATATTACAGTCCGAATGATAAGCAAATAAATTATTACAGGATTTCTAATTAATTAATAGAAAGAATGCAAAAGAAAGAAGAGGATGGCCACAGCCTCTGCCTCGGGATGTGCGAACGATGCGTGCTCGAAATCCGGCTTGCCTGAAAAACCCGCGCCGTACCTCTGCCACCTCTGTTTATACTGCCCTGTCTTTCTGAAAATTGCCACAGCCCTGGAACAGATTCTTTGCATGCCACAGAGTACCACCGGCTGGGGGAAATCCCCACCGGCAGTCCAGGATTTTCATCGGCTGCTCAAATATTGCCGGTCGGCACTTAATTCTGCCGGTCGGCAGAAGCTTCCTGCAGAAGACAGTTTTGACAGCAACAGAGAACAGACAGTATACGGTATGGGATTTTCAGGCACATGTGAGCATGATCATGCTTCCCCTCATGCTTTGAACTCAGGGAAGCATGCACCTCGATCCCCGAGCCATCAATGGTGCATGATAGCCCAAGGGATCAAATTTGCCACTTGATGTAAAGATGCATGCAACAAACAAATGAGAATCGATGCCTTATCAAGTCGGAGTCAAAGGCCTCGATGACCGAGAATCAAGGCACATTACATCACTTGAAGTATGAATGTCCCTTGATCCTCACATTTGGCTTGACACCCCAAACCAAATAATGCAATGCATGTTATGCAAACATGGCTCAAAATGCAACATGATACCAAGATGCAAGTCATGCCAAGTGAGATGCGACTAGTATGGCAAGCATGCAATGTTAGGCATACGAGATGCAAATGTAGTGCAAACATGGGCCGTTTAGGCGATGGGATCAACATGTTACAACACTTAATGAAGCAATTATGCAACAAACATGAGACAAGCATGCAAGGGTGACCATAAACCACAAAGGGGCAGACCTCAGACCATCTTAAAACAGTGGCCAAAAGTCCCTAAAATGGTGGACAAACAATCATGCCAACATGCAAGCCAATGGTCTCAAAACTAAGGCACAAGAAAGGAGGTACCTTACTCCCATAACATGACCAATCATAGCATGATTTAGACAAGTAAGAAACAGAATTTTTACAGGCAAAATAGGACTCCAAATCCTCCTAATATGGCAGCTAAGGTGGCTCCAAAGGGGTGTATGCAACAAGGCTCATGTGTAGGCATAAAAAGGCGCACCTTTAAGGCATGAAAGAGGTCATGTATGCACACATACAAACATGATTCTTGGACTGAAATGTGGTCCTAAATGA